CGTCGTCGTCGTCGTCGTCATCGTCGTCATTATGAAGGGCGCGTTCGGAAAACCAGACGCGCCACTTTTTCATTCCCCGATCGAATTTTCGACTTCTCCACCTGGCCACGTTAAGTGGCAGGTGCGAGTCCCGCGCTGCCATTAATCGGGGCTCGCGATCCTCCTCGTAAAAGTAATTACCGACCCGCGTTATCGTCCCTGGAGAAAGGATATCGAAGATTCGGCTGGGCCGGAAAGTGGATGAAAGGTGATGGAGGACGAGCCGAATCCACTTAGCCGAGCTCCCGGGAACGACGTTGGCCGAAGCAAAAGACTGAGGAGTGAGGGTGATGGAGCGGATAGAGAATGAGTGAGAGGAGAGTAGAAAGGGGATAGGGAGGAGAGACTCTTAGGTGTTTTCAGATCTCCCTTTTCGCTTACGCGCCTACTCGCTTTGCCGTGTCGTCCTGCTTTTTTTCTTCATCACTCGATTCTGGAATTTGTCCAAATTCGAGCTCTTCTTCCTTTTGCTGTCGCTCGAGTGTTGCGTTGAAAGAAGAGGAGAATCGAACCCGACGCGCTTAGTATATCTTAATGAAGGAGATGTTTCAGCAAATTTAACCAAATTTTTGTACAAAGTCGTCGTTTTATTTCCAATCTTGGACCATAAATTTTACCTTAATTTAAATTATATCTTTTCGTTTGCAAAGGCTTGTAAGCAGCCTTAATGTATTTTTAATTCAAACTGTTACATGCTTTATAATTTACATTCGCTTTGAATATTCCTACATCCGTGTCCAATATAATATTGTAAACTTAAGCATCTCCGTGGGATCAAATTTATTAGTTATATCATAGTAATATTTGCAGTAATGTTGTTATTGATCTTGCTTTTGAAACTTTTAAAATAGTCAGGAGGAGCATGTAAATACCGTTACATAATCAGTCTTGGATATATATAAATAACACTAAAGTCTACAGAAATTCATACCGCTTAATTTCTCTTGTCTTCCCAGACCCCTTTCCAGACATATAAAATAGTTAATTAGCTAATGCAATAATTTTCACCAATTTTAGTAGTATAAATTTTAATTGTCGACAGGGAGAAAATAAATCAATTTTAGTGACTCACAAGGTCGCTTGGTACGCTTGGCTAAAAGTTTAACGTTACCGTAAAATTACCGTCTTCTTATATTCATCGCAACACAATATATTTAACATTAATATCTCAGCGCTATTTGTTTAAACATTTTATCAAATTCTCGTGAAAAATAAAGCTTGAAAATAGAGTGCTGTGTCGGGCATCGATAATTTAATTATCGACTGTATAATCGTAACGTATAGAGAGAAGCGAGTTGAGCGTATTGAGCTAACTGAGACTCCAGCTCGAGCATTTGTTATCGTAAGCGCGGGTTATTGGCGGTGGGAGAGGGTCCGGGAGAGGGGGACAAACCGAACTTAAAGAAGCCAGATATCCGAGAAGTAACTAAAAACTTTCGGGCAACCATAAACTCGACCGACTATGCCAAAACACTACATTCCCGTTATATTCTACTTCCAAACGACGACTAATACACTTCCCCCCCCCCCCTCCGGCAGCGGCCCCGTGACGAGGCGTCGATACACCCGAACATTATTCTATGTTGCGATAACAAAACTATATTCGCACCGAGATTTACGAGACGGGTGGGTTTTTTTGGAGAGGGGGGGGGGCGAAAATCTAATTACACACATCCGTGGGCGAAGACGCAGCACGACTCCAGTGCAGCGTAACGCCCAACACTGACGCGGCACTACTTTAGGGAGCCGCGTCATATTCTTATCGCGGCACCGGGAATTCGCGCTCGAGTGACTGGACTCGGCTATTTTTCATTCCCCCTTCGGCAGGGAATAGCGCACAATGCTTAAAAATTGTTAAATGATACGATATGTCTGCCGCGTGGCACTTTTATTTGTTAGATCTCACGATTAATTACCTGTTTGTGCATCTCCACGTTCAGCCCGTACGACATCTCGTAATACTGAAACAGAAAAATTAATACTTATGAGGCCTGTGTTTATGACTGTGCTTGTACGAATGTGTGCAACGAGCGCGCAGCATTTGTGATGACGTCAGTGAAATTATGTTAGAAGATTATTTGGTATGATAATAATGATAGCCGTAAGAAAATAATGCTTAGAATTAGCTATAATTTTGTACTTTCTTCTATTATATATGGTTAGCCGTACGTCCATATTGTCGGCATGAAACTATAGATATCATTCCTTGGGTAGTATGCCATAAGAGTGCTCGTTTGCAAATGGAAATTAAATAGAATGATGAGTTGGAAAGCTTATCTTTAATGCATCTTGGCAATGGAAGACCATATTTTTTAATACTAGCCCTAAAGGGCTCCCATTAATGAAGGTATTGATTGGACTAGTCTATACTAGCGTACATGTTATCAAAACGGGTTTTATTGAACAGCACATCTATCTCGTATTTGCAATGAAATTACTTGAAAATTACGAGAAGAAATGA